CATACATACGTGTATATATACTGAACCCCAAATATGTACTATAAGACTATGCAGGTTTTAAATACATGCAAACTGCTGGGTGTGGTGGCACACACCTGTAATTCTAGCATTCTAGAAGCTGAGGCAGGAGGATATGGTATTAAAAGTAAGGAGATCTTTTCAAATGGGAAGAGGACAAAGAGATGGAAAGGTGGGAGGGAAGGAAGGAGAAGGGCATGAAAAAAGGATTAAAATATGTTATCTACATATACCAATTCCCTACTATGATTGTAATCATTATATACCAATAAAAATGAAATAAAAGTAAAATTCTTGGTCAGTGGTATGTGGAAGAGTTGTCAGCAGCAAATATGGTAGACTTTATTGGAGGTTCTGGCTGTTTCAGCACTACTTTTTTTTTCTTTTGAAGCAAAACATTTATTGGTACATTTTAAATAAGACATAATGATAACTCATAGGAAATTTTCACCTGTACGTATCATGCCTATTCTTTTTTCCCACCCACCCCCCAGCACCACTTATATTTGGTGCTTTTTAAAATTTAAGTGGCTTTAATAGAGGAAGATTCTTACTGTAATCTAACAAACTTTCCTAACAGGCTCTAATTGTATTTAATAGCCCTCTGAGTTTTTATGTTTGGGTTTTTTCCCCCTTATATACCATCTTTATTTCTCAAGTAATAGAGAGGACAAGTCCTTTAGTGTGTGATATATTTCAGTATTGTAAATACTCCTTTCTGTGAGATTGGGGATCATTATGGGATTAATTTGTATGGAGATATTCTAGAACAAGTATATACAGCTACTGGCAGAAACTGAAATATGGTGAAATTACAATTATTTGAACTCTTTGATCTTCTGGAAATTGTGGGGCTGTTGGGATAAATTAGCCTTTTTGGTAACAAATTATCTTTAGTACAGAGTTCTTAAGTATCTGGAAATCCTAGGATTTCTATGATTTAGAATAGTTTAGAAACTCATGTTTTTATGTACACTATTGTGTATATAACACATTACTGGCTATGGCAGTTCCTTCTGAAAATACTGGAAGAAAATAAATACAATAGAAGCTGACATTAAATTTCAGAGTGAAGAAAGACTTGTATGTAGCCCACCTAAGTTGGAAGGATTGATAGGAGAATGGTATTCCTGATTAATTTCCACTGATATGGAATGGCTGTGGTTAAAAGAAGATAGGCAGGTGTGGTGGCACATGCCTGTAATCTCAGTACTCAGGAGGCTGAGGCAGGACATTGTCATGAGTTTGAAGCCAGCTTAGACTACTTAATGAGTTCAAGGCCAGTCTGAGGTATGTAGCAATACCCTGTCTCAAAAAAACAAAAACAAATTAAAAAACAAAACAAAAAAGACCAAGAAGATATATGAAGACCTACAAGAGGCCTTGGGACTGGGGTGATTCAAGCTTGCATTTATGTATGTATGTATGTATGTATATGTTTGTATGTGCTGGGAATGGAACTCAGGACCTTGAGCATGATGCCAGCTCTCTATGACTAAGATAGCATCCCCAACCCCAGACCTTATATCTTTGCTTAAAAAGAAAAAAACAAAAAGAAAAACACTTGGGGACTGAGGATGTATATCTTAGTGGTAGAGTACTTACCTAGCACATTGAGGTCCTGGGTTCAGTCTCCCCACCAAACAAATTGAAAAGGCACACGGCTTGGAGAACTAGAAATTACTTTGCTCGTATTGTCTTGGATTACCATTGGGTGAGACAACCTCTTGGTTTTGAAGATACTGTTGAGCAAGGAAATTATTACTTAGTATAAAGTTTTTAGAATTCAAGCATGTCCAATTAATAGCCCACAGGCTACTTGTCCTCTTTTTATTTTTAATATTATAATAAACACATGAAATTTTGTTTTATATGTATATTCCTCCTTTTTATTTTTTTGGTACTGGGGATTGAACTCAGGACCTTGTGCTTACAAGGCAGGGGCGGAACCACTGAGCTAAATCCCCAGCCCTGTTTTATATGTATATTAACTATATATATATGTGGAACAAGAAAATTCCTCTTCACTCACTGCAGCCCAGGCATATGAAAGGACATGCTTGTTTCAGATCATTTATTTTCAAACTTTAATATGCATTTAATTTATTATTGTTTCTATATTTATTATAATTATATATCTTAATTTATATCATTAATATACATTCTAATTTAATATACATCAGTAGGGGAACCAGTTAAAAGTGCATATTCAAAATTTAGTAGATCTAGAGTGTGATCTGAGATTCTACATGCGTGGAAAGGTTCCAGGTAGTTTAGGATTGCTGCTCTGTGGACTACTTGAGTGAATGGCAAAGGTTTAATTAGGTTGTTCTTTAAAGCAACAGGAAATGATTAGGTTAAGAACACTAACACTGGAGCAGAAAAAATACTGCCTATCTTATAGTTTACTTGAAAATAAGTTTAAATTCACATTCCTCCTTTACCTGGTTGATTTGAGAATGGTCAAGTTGAACATCTTCAAGCATTCATAAAATTTAAGCTGTATAAAAAAGATAAGATTAAAACAGGTTTTGGAGATTCCAAGCTAAATTCATTACTGTTCTTTCTTGAGAAAGTAAGGTTAGAGCATAGACTACTATTAGAAGTTTTAGTTTAAAAATTATAATTAGCAGTGTTCAATGTTACTAAATATTTGCTTGTTTGTTCAACAGAATTGAGCCTTTACTATATCCAAGGCATATTAATCACTTTTTTTTTCAGTTCTGGGAATCTGACCCAGGGCCTCATACATGCTAGGCAAGTACTCTACCACTCTTTTAATGTAATCTAGATGTGCTGTCATAATATTACCTAGTGGTGGGCAACCAGATTTTTACTGGTTATTAAGTCATTCAACAGATTATGAACTGGTGTACATACTAAAAATTAGAAAATCACATTGTTGTTGAGTTGTGAGGTATCTTTTATTACCAGCCTAGAGATGTAGCTCAGTGGTAAAGAGCTTGACTAGTATGCCAGCCTGGTGAATTTTTTTTAAATTGGAGGCTCTTACCCGATCAGACCAGTAAAAATTTAAGTTTGACAATACACAGTATAGGCAAGGCTGTGGAATAACAGGAATTTACATTGTTAATTGAAATGTAAATTAAAGTAATGATTTTTTTTAAATGATTTGGCATTACCTAGAAAAGATAGACATATTCAAAGACCCTAACTACATACGATGTTCTACATTCTAATTTGGAGTTTTTTGTTGTTGCTTTTGGTGGTTTTTGTTGTATCCTGGATTGTACCTCTAGCCTTTGCACTGAGCTGTAGCCCCAGCTCTTTATTTTTTATTTTGAAATAAGATCTTGCTAAATTGCCCAGGGTGAGTTTTAAGCTTTCAGTCCTCCTCTCTTTACTCAGCCTCCCAGGATTTTGGGATTATAGGAATATACTACCACTCCTGGGTTGGAAAGATTCTTGAAGATGTACTCTAAGGGATGTACAAACAAGTGTTTGTTACAGTATTATTGTAATTGTTTAAAAATAAGAGCCTCTAGAAATGATCCAGATGTCTATATACTGTAAAATCCATAAAATATATTTTGGTATATTTATAGAATGAAAATGTTGTTTTTTAAAAAATATTGTTTATTCATCAATAAAAGTAAATGAACTATACCTACACACATCATCAAGCATGAATTTTCAAAACTGTATATAGGGGGTTTTAAAAGTAAGTCACAGCAGAATATATGCAATAGGATTTCTTTATTTAGTTGGGAAACTAATCAGGTGTAATGACACACACTTGTAATCCCAGAACTCTGAGAAACTCATGCACGAGGATTGTATTTTGGAGCCCAGCTTGGGCAATTAAGGGCCCTAGCAAGACCGTCACAAAATGAACAATAATAAAGGAAAGCCTAGGGATGTAGCTCAGTCCAAAGGCACTGAGTTTCATCCCTAATACTGCAAAAAAAAAAAAAAGGAAAGAAAAGTTGGAAAACTAAATGTTGTAATGCTTAGGGATGATACATATTTGTATAAAATTATGAAAACTACCAAAAGAAAAGGCAACAGGGTTGGGGTTAGCTCAGTGGTTCTGCTGCCTGCCTCGCAAGCACAAGGTCCCGAGTTCGATCCCTGGTACCAAAAAAACCCAAAAAACAAAAGAAAATGCAACTAAAGCTAAGGATAGTAGTTGCCTCTTTAGGGCAGGAAGAGGTTATGTTATTCACATGAGGGAGAAGAACCCATGGCGGGTTTTGAACATAGTGATAATTTATTTCTTGGGACAGGTGGTTAGTGCATGGATCTAATGGCTTTTGGTTCTTGTTAATTTAAAATGCTTTTCTATCTCTTATATGCTTTATGTGTTTTATAACTCTAAAAATGAAAGCCTAATCCAAATAGGTTAAAGGTTAGCCCTATTGTAACTTTACTCATTTGCATTTTTGTATGCTTCCTTGAGTGATGAGAATTCGGTAGCTCTTAAAGTAATAGGTGGGGAAGTTTTTGTGGGAGGATGACATAATTTGAACATCTCTTTCATGTGTATCATGAAAAGTGTTGAGATCTACTGCTGTTAAAAGCCTGCAGTTTAGTTGGGTAGGCACACCTGTAAGCAAATGACTGTAATATAGTGTGAATGTTTTACTAAAAGTGTGTTAAAAAAATGGCTAAAGAAGAGCCAAGAAAGCTTTATGGAGTACATAATAATTAAGCTAGATCTTTAGATGAGCAATTTACTGGGGGAGGTTCGTGAGGGAGTCAGCAACATTCCTTGATGAAGAAAAAGGAGGTTCAAAGGCACAGAAGCCTAAAGTCCATTTAGTGTTGAGAAATGCAGATATGTTAGGAGCCATACTTGAAGAGTCTTATCTAACATACTATGGAATTTGCTGTATGGGGTTTGTCCCTTAAATTAGGGATATTAGCTTCAGTATTATGTTTAAAGCTCTGTACTATGCTAAGAGTAACTTTGAAACTGTATATATGTATGTATAGTTATGTGTTTTCTCTTCCATTTACAGGCTGCTATATGGCAAGCACTAAACCACTATGCTTACCGAGATGCAGTTTTCCTCGCAGAACGACTGTATGCAGAAGGTTTGCAACTATTCATTTGTATAGTCATAAATAAATAAAATATATGGAATCCTTTTATTTGTTTGACTAACAGGAATCTAGGTGTCACTTTCTTGTTTTTTCTTTATAATTGACACTAGTTCCTAAAAATATCATCTTGTATCTGTGTGGCTCCCTTAATGTTAAATTTAATAACTGTAGAGTTGACTTGGGTTTATAGACTATGATTTACTTAATCCTTTTCTAATCTTTAGGATTTTCTTCCTGGGTTTGTCTTTCATTAGAACAGTCTATATTCTGAAGCTAACTTTATAGATTTAGAGTCTATAGTTATGCTACAAACCCTATCACTTAAATATACATTTGTATAACCTTAACCAAGTTATTTGATGAGTATTACAGATTTTTTCATTTATAAAATACAAATAATTCCCTCTTAGAATTGAAAAATGAGATAATATATTTTAAACACTTGACACAGCCATCTAACATGGTATAAATACTCAATAACCATTACTTTGATAATGCGTATTTTGTCATTAAATTACAGTGGTGGTATAGATAATTGTATGTGGCTTTTTCCCCCTTGAGTCATTTCTTTGAATTTATACTTTTAAAATAGAATTTACAAGTTAAAGTTATGATCAGTTCTATAACAGATTATCTTTTGTCTACTTGTTAATCCAGCGGAGAAAGGTGTGATGATCTGGGGTGTCACCAACGTTATAAGATTATAAATCTTCACTCTTTTTTATTATTATTTATTTATGTACATTTCATTACTGCTTTGAAATTGCACAAAGCTTTTTTGGGGGTTTTTTTGTGGTTTTTTTTGGTTTTTGGTTTTTTTTTTGGTACTGGGACTCAAACTCGGGACCTTGCGCTTGCAAGGCAGGTGGTAGAACCACTGAGCTAAATCCCTGGCTCCTGCACAAAGGTTTTAATCAGTGTTGGCTTGTAGCCAGATAAGTCTATAAATTCATTCAGGAAGTATTGACATCTTAAGGAAGTATTAAAAAGAAATATGTATTTTTTTCAAAAACATTGCCTTATTTTTTTATTGCCTTATTTTTATTCATGTGCTTATTTAATTCAGTTTTTCTACTTTTTGTGTATGCTTCCATTGGATTATTTACAAAGAATTTTTATTTTTACTGTTTGTAGATAGGGTTTATTTTTGAGATATTTTGGTATTAATGCTGGAACATTTATACTCAGTGGTATGATCTTTCTCTAGTAATAAATGCTTAGTAATGCAACTGCACACATTAAGAAGGTAGATAATTAGTAGTTTACCAGACATGTTTCACAAAAGGACAAGAGATAAGAATATTAAGAATATAGACAGGGTGTAGGTCAGGAAAAGTTGAGGCAGAGGAGGCTGGTAATTAAGAGAGGATAGAGAGATGGTACCAAATTCTAGATGTTGCTGATTTGGGAGATGTATGACAGTAATTTAGGGGAGGAAGACCATGAACCAGATGTAGAAGTCTTAGAGTGCTGTGAGTTTCATGAGGAGAGTTATGAGGAAAAGGTCTGAACCTCACAAACAAGAAATTTCACGAAAGGACAAGAAGTAATGTTTGGGATTATATTGAGAAGCAAAGCAGAAATGAACCATATCTTGATCAGAATTACTATGTAGGCAGTTCTGAGGCACATAAGGAAATAAGCATCCCTTTAATGGAGCCCTGGAGAGAATTGGAGTTCAGTGAGAAGAGTGGAGAAGATCCTTGCAGCAGGGGTTTGAGGTCCCAGTGAAATGATTTAGAAGGGTGAGAAGAGAGTGGCTTAAAAAGAAAATATAATAGATTACCCTACTCCACTTCATTATGCAAAAGCAGAGTATATTGTAATTTAGTTAAATATATTTTCATTTATGCCTAGGCAACCCAATGTTCTGTTGTCTTAACATTTCTAGTCTTAATATTTTAAATTTGCTTACAAAATAGGCAGGGCTGGGGTGTAGCTCAGTGGTGGACTCATAAGGTCCTAGATTTGATCCTCAGCAAGAAAGAAAGAGGGAGGGGGTAGGAAGGAGGTTGATTCTATTTTATTAGAGATAACCTCCTAAACATTGTACATTATGCATTTAGGATTCAGATGGTTAAATCTTCTCATAAATTTTTTGGTTTTTATTTGTTTGTCTTTTTTTTTTTTTTGGAGACAGTGTCTCACTATGTAATTCAGGCTGGTCTTGAACTCACTGTGTAGCCCAGGATAGCCTCGACTTATGGGGATCCTCCTGCCTCAGCCTCCCAAGTGCTGGGATTACAGGTGTGAGCCACCACACCTGGCTTCTCATAAATTTAATTACCGAATTCCTAGATTGGTCCACATAAAGCTATTTAATTCATATTCTGTCTGAGCCTGATATTTGGAAAATTGCTTAATCTCTCTCTTTAGGACCTCACCACTTCAACTGTATTTCATTTGTTTGTTTGTTTTTTGAGGCAGGGTATTGCTGTGTAATCAGGCTGGCCTTGAATTCACTGTGGCCTAGGCTGACCTCAAACTCATGGGGATCCTCCTGCCTCCTCCTGAGTGTGGGGAATACAGGTGTGCACCACCACACTCAGCTCATTAACTATATTTATATGAGGGAAAATTTTAGTCTTAATGAAGTGAGAACATATGTTATCCTAGCTCAATAATGATGACAATATTCTACCATTTATTGATTTCTCACTATATACTAGGTGATCTGAGGACTTAGCATTTTCTTAATTTTTAATAATCTTACAAAATATTGCCATTTTACAGATAAAAAACCGAGAACGGTGCCCACAGACAATAAATCTGTCAGATTACATTTTACATTTTACCAAGTGTAGTAAATACCTGCCACCATAGAAGGCATCACTAATTCACCACACTTCTCATTTCCACTGAATCAACCTCAAAATTTTTGTCAATAGCGTTCAATATCAGTTGATCAGAGTTAATAGGCTAAGTGTAACCTCTTTGCCCCTTTGCTCAGTAGCCTCCTGTGCCACTGGTGATAACTCTTGTGTTTTAAGGAAAACATCCAGCAGGCTAAAGAAGTTTATGAGTGTGATCTGTAAGTTAAATTCTTGAAATAATATTTTTATCTCACTAATTCCTTGTCACCCATTTGTCTTTCTCCAAAGAGATTCATAACCTGCCTGAGACTCTGATCTAAGAAAGAAAGAATAGCAGAATGGACTAAGAGAGAATCTCAACTCATATTCATTAGCTGTTTGATCTAAAGCAAGAAGTTATTCTGAGCCTCATTTTCCTTATCCTTAAAACAAGCACAGTACCTATTTAACAAGATAGTTTGAAGGACTACCTATAGTAATATGTATGTCCACTGTAGTTTCTGGCACATAGGAAACCCTTTTCAAGTTCTCTCCCTCCCCTAGCTTATCCTAATACAGTGGCTTTTCAGATTTTTTTTTAGTCTTACTATGTATGATGCATATTTTCTTCCTATCTCTCAGTGTTATGACACCCAAAAAGTTTCAGGTTTTGGAAAATCAGGAGTTTTCATAGTAGGGATGTTCAACAAGTAAAATTATGCAAATTTTCCACAATCCAAAAAAGCTCTGAAATCTTAAACCAGCATTTTGGATAAGGAATATTCAGCCTGTATACATAGGGATTAGCACTATTTTTTATTTAATATATCCATAAGACAGTTTTAGAATGTAATGTATCATCCATACGTAAGAGGGACTACAGTAGTAGTTGATCTAAGAACATAAAAGATAAACTGGCCGTGGTGGCTATGCTGGTAATCCTAGCATTATGGAAGGCTGAGGCAGGAGGATTGTGAGTTAAGGCCAGCTTGGGCTATATAGTGAGTTTGATGTCAACTTGGACTAATATACTGAGTTCAAGGCCAGCCTGGACTCAAAACAAGACCTTGTCTCAATGAAGGGGACAGGGTGGCTCAGTGTTTCCTGGATTTAATTCTCATTACTGCAAAAGAAAAAAAAAGATTAAGTCTCTCTCCAATTTAAAAGGGTACTCAATTTAGATTATATAGCATATCACAAAGAAGGAATATCTACATAGCTTAAAAACATTGAAAAATTGCCGGGGATTTAGCTTAGTGGCACTGCGCCTGCCTCGCAAGTGCAAGGTCCTGAGTTCGATCCCCGGTACTAAAAAAAAAAACATTGAAAGACTAATTCACATTCCTGTTTGATAGAAATATATCTAGAGGATGCAAAGTTAAACCCTTCTTAATTATTTTGGACTTACATTCAAAACACCTTTCCACTTTTGAGGTCTACTCTGCTGGTAAGAAGAGGAGCTTTATTGGAAGGAGGATTGAAAAGGGGAGGTTGAATTTGTATATACATGAATTTGTATATACATAAACAAGTATATACATGTTGGTAAAGCATTATGGTTGCTGGAAGTTAAACTGGTTTTTAGAAACAATTGTTTATTGGTATAATCAATAGCTTTAAAAAAATTTATAAGGCATCAGAAAACTAGACATTTGCAAAATCTAGAAGATATGACTTTCGAACTCATGAAATTAGCATTATAGTTCAGTGAAATTAATAATCTGTTCCTAATGCAGTAGAGCTGATCCATCATTTTTCTGAACCTGTAACACTAATACTACTATACTTCCCATTAATGTACCAAAATTTCTTATTTACTCTATATTATTTTTTGCACTAGTATTTCATGGGAAATTGTAAAGTATATGACAAAAAAGTTACAAGAGTAAAATTTCAATTTTTTAATCCCAAATCTTAGAATTAAGTTAGCTTTTCAGGAAAATGTGGCAAGTTTGTCTTATACTGTGGAACGGTAGTTTTCAAACTTTAGCATGCTCCAGAATCACCTGAAGAATTTGTTAAATATTACTGGTTTCCACTCCCAGAATTACTGATTTAGGGGTCTGATGGAGAGCACAAGGGTTTTCATTTCTAACACATTTCCAAATCATACTGTCTCTGGTATAGGGACCACACTTGAAAAACCATTGGCTTAGAATATTAATCAGCCCTCTGGGATTATTACACATAAGCACAGATTTGTGATTTATCCCTTTTCTCAGTTCTCATTGTTGTTACCTCTGTAGACTCATCTGGCATGGTTAGGAGATTGTGAAGATAGAAGTGAAGTGATAGTTGGTTTGGAAGCCATACAGGGTAAATGGGGAAGAGGACAAATGCCACATTTCATTAAGAAAGGAGGAAATATTTTCTAATGTAAAGAATAGGGCACAGATTGTTGAATAACTCAGTTCTTGCCATTGGAGAACAATTTAGTTATTACTATAAATATCAACTGAATGTTAAAAATGATGTCTATACCCACAATTTAGAAAATTTTTTCATTTTGAGTATAATTTAGTGTGTGTACATACAGTATTGGAAACTTTTTTGTCTGATCTTTTTAATGAGGAATTTTTTCAAATTGCTAATTAGTTTTGCTTGTCCTCAGTTTTTTCTCTCTAGTGAAATCTGACTTCTGTAGTCCCAAAGGGTATATTAGAAAAAGTCTACCTAAAAACAAGATACTGCTTTACTGTAGTCTGTTTAAAAGGAAGAGGGTATGTGTGTGTTTGCTTTTCTTAAAGATTTACGGAGAATACCATGATTGTCTTTATTGTATTATTTCCTTGATTCCTTGTAGAGATAAGACATTCAGGAACTGGAGAATTAACTTTTCTATTAGCAACATACTTCTTTATAATTCAAATTTAATTATTTTGGATTAAATAACATGCCTAATTTTTCATTGCTAAACTTTATTGCCAGATAAACTAATTATCATTCAATGTGCCGAACAATAGCCAATTTCTTTTTCTTCTTTTTTAATATCTGTTCTTAGTACACTCAGAAGAAGCCTTGTTTTTACTGGCAACCTGTTATTACCGCTCAGGAAAGGCATACAAAGCATATAGACTCTTGAAAGGTCACAGTTGTACTACACCACAGTGTAAATACCTGCTTGCAAAATGTTGTGTTGATCTCAGCAAGTAAGTATTAAAATCTTCTCTGGGTAATTTTGTTCTACTTACATGGTAGAATTTTGGATGAAATTCTTCTGACAGATTAAATTCTGAGATTGACTCCCCTCCCTCTTTTTAGGTAGTAGAAATTTGTCTGTTTCAGTAACATTTGAAATGTTTACCCTCCAGCCTGTATAGCATTATTTTTGTTACAAAGATATATCATTGTTATGGTGATAAATAGCAGAATTTAACTCTGAAGAAGCTTAAATTATAAATAATTCTTAGCCGTTTCAGAATGATTACTATTAATCATTTCCTTTCCTTTGCTTTTAGTGTTAAACCAATTTGAATAAGCCTGAAAATTTGGCCTTTCATTCCAGAATAATGTGTATATATGACTGTATAGTTACCTTTCAAGATCATTTTATTTGGAAACTACTGCCCACCCCTTTGAAGCAAGGGAGCAATTAGAAGAGCACTTCTTCTGCTTATTATAGTGAAACCAAGTCAGCTATGCCTATTCCAAAGAGGTAGCTGAAGATACAGCTATTAAACTTTTCTGCCTTGTAAAAGATAGATTACTGGTAAAAGTGACTGAACAGATATTTATAAAATCCTCTATTTTGTTTGGAGGTTCACCGTTGGAGAATACAAATAAGTCTCATAAAATCATCATATACGTACTTACAAATCACTATATTATTTGTCCAATGACTGATGACTTTTTAATTAATGATAGTTAAAATATTTGTGAGATTTCTGAGGCATTTGTTACTAATTTTAAATTCCAAATATTTAAATGTTGGATTCTAAAAAATATATTTTTTTATTTATTTTGCCAATTTAGTCTCAAAGCTGATTTTTACACTGACATTCTTAGCCCATTTATACACAAATGTAGTGCTGATGTTTGAATCTAGAACCTTGCACATGCTAAGCAAGTGTTCTACCACTGAACTGCATACCGAGCCTAAGTAGTTACATGCTTTTAAAGTCTTTCTGGGGTAAAACAAATAAAAATTACCTTGACAGTGAAAGGACATCTTCCGGATATTCTGGTTTTGTTTTTGTTTTTGTTTTTTTGGTACCAGGGATCGAACTCGGGTCCTTGCGCTTGCGCAGCAGGCAGCAAAACCACTGAGCTAAATCCCCGGCCCTAAAGTTTATTTTTTAATTTTTTTGGTACCGGGATCGAACTCGGGTCCTTGTGCTTTAGGATATTCTATATACTTACGGTTTTCTACATGATGATTTTATTTTTAATCAAAAATTTAAAACTGAAACCATTGGCACTCTGATGTGCTAAAAATACATTGTGAAATCAGGCAATTTTTTTCTTTTGGGAAATGTTTGTGATTTTCTATACCAAGAAAACATAATTGACAAAAAAATGAATGCTATTCAAATAGCATTCATAAAACCTCAAATGACTGAGACCATCAAGTATGTAATTTTTTGTTTTTTTTTTTGTACCGGCGATCGAACTTAGGACCTTGCACTTGATGAGGCAGGCGCAGTGCCCCTGAGCTAAATCCCCAGCCCAAGTATGCAATTTTTAATTAAAACATGTTAGTCTTGTTTAATTGGCTTGTACATTCCTATTTTAAGGATTGGTAGAGCTAAGGAGCACCACACATTAGGTAAAGAACCATGTTTTTCTCCCAATATAATTGATCATCTTTTTTTTTCTTTTGACATAAATAATGAATATGTTGCTTAGACATTTGGAAACTAAATTTAATGACTTGTCTTTTTAAAGACAAAAGTGAAGTTTTAAGATCATAAACTTCTAGCTTCCCAAATGATTCATTTATCACTATTGTAAAAGTATTGTGAACTTTCTTTATCTGTCTCCATGGTTGTAATAAAGGATGTCTTCATGTGGTGCTTTTTGTATTAGATTTTATTTAATCTAAATTTATATTTTAAAGGCTTGCAGAAGGGGAACAGATCTTATCTGGTGGAGTGTTTAATAAGCAGAAAAGCCATGATGATATTGTTACTGAGTTTGGTGATTCAGCCTGTTTTACTCTTTCACTGTTGGGACATGTATATTGGTAAGTAAAATGATTCAAACTACCAAAAAAGAATTTCTTGTATGAGAATATCTTGTAATTTTAAAAAAACCTTTTTTTTTTTAGTACTGGGGATCAAACTCGGGACCTTGCGCTTTCAAGGCAGGCAGCGGAACCACTGAGCTAAATCCCCAGCCCTAAAAACCTATTTTGATCTGTGTTATCAAATAAAACTTGACTAGTACAGATCCTCTGATTTCATGACCTTGTTATTGTTAAACCGGTTAAATAGTAAAGATATTAATCCCATTTTTGGATTAGTGATAATAGCTACCACAACACTGCCTAACAATTGAGTGCATATAATGTTCATTTTTTATTTTGGGTAAAGAGAGTATCTTTGTTAGATGCCATGACACACACCTGTAGTCCCAGTTACTTGGGGGCCTAAGGCAGGAGGGTTGAAAATTTGAGGTTACCTTGTGTAATTTCGTGACACCTTGTCTCAAAATTAAAAAGTAAAATAAAAAGGTCTGGGATTTAATTTAGTAGTTGAGTGCTCAATTCCCAGTACCAAAAAAGAAAGAAAAAAAATTGATATCTTTTTTTTTTTTTAATGGTACCAGGGATCGAACTCAGGACCTTGTGCTTGTGGTGCCACTGATCAAAATCTCTGGCCCAAAATTGGTATCTTATCTGTAGAACAAATTCCAAAAGAAAGGAGATGTTTGTAATTTATTTTGGTAGAGTGATATATAACTGGAGGTGGTAGATTTGTGAAATCAAAATTTTAATAAGGGGAAAGTGTTATAGAAATAATTGTTTAAAAGCACCATATTCTTTTACTTTTAGACGATTGAAATGATATACTATTCTTTGGTTAAAAGAGTTGGGTTAGATGATAAAAACCCATATATGAACAGGAAGATAAACACTTAGAAATTAAATACCCTTCTAGGGGCTAGGGATTTAGCTCAGTGTTTCCACCCCCTGCCTCACAAGCGCAAGGTCCTGAGTTCAGTCTCTGGTACAAAAAAAATGAAAATACAAGCCTCAGATTGACAGAAAATAATTGTAAATCACATAAACAACATATGTTGTATCTAAAATATATAAAGGACTCAGTAAAAACAACTCAGAAAATTGGCAAAACACTTGAATAAACACTTCATCAAAGAAGTTTATATGGATTATAAATAAGGAGATAAAAAGGTGCACCAATTCATTAGCCATTAAGGAAAAGTACATAAAAATCACCCTGTAATACCGCTGTATATCTATTACAATGGCTCAGATAGAAACTATTGACAGTACCAAGTGCTAGTGTGGAAATAGCAACAAGATCCCTCATACATTTTGATGGGGGTGATGCTTGCACATGAATGTTCATAACAGCTGGAAACAAGTTTTGTATATAGCCACCATTTAGTAAAAATACCATCTAAATTTAGAGCACCCCAAGCAGTTTAATTTTCTTTAATCTTTGTCCCTTTTATTTCTCTATTGAATAAATTAGAGATTTTATTTCCCAGGTTAGATTATTATAATTCCATACCTGACTCCTTCCCCAGTTAGCTCTTATGTCATTTATACATACATCTGTACCTATCAGTGTGTGTTAGCAGAAACTAATTTTGTTTTAAATATGTTTCATGGGCTATTAGTCAAATCATATGTAAACCTAATTTATTATAAAAATCAGCCTTGCTAGGGCTGGGAATGTAGCTCAGTGGTTCAATAATAGAACACTTGCTTGGTGTGCATAAGGCCCTGGGCTTGATCCCCATCATCAAAAACAAAAACAGGCAGCTTTGCCATCTTATTAAAAGTTGAGAGAATTTTCCTTTTGCTAATTTGTTGTTGTTGTTGTTGTTGTTCTTTTTGGTACCGGGGATCGAACTCGGGTCCTTGCGCGTGCGCAGCAGGCAGCAAAACCACTGAGCTAAATCCCCGGCCCCCTTTTGCTAATTTTTAAAGTAAAATAAAATTATAATTTAAGTAATATTAGAAAAGAGACTTTTCATTAGCAAAGGGTCACCTATTATATTTACAGAATATTTTTCACTGAGTAGTTTTATCATTGGATAAATCAGTTTTGGGGTTTTTTTGTTTCTTTTAGTGGGGAGGGTTTTGAGACCGGGTCTCATTATGTAGTTCAGACTGGCCTTGAACTCACTGTGTAGCCCAGGCTGGCCTCAAACTCATAGCAATCCTCCTGCTTCAGCTTCCCGAGTGCTGGGATCATAGGCGTGTACCACCATGCCTGGCCTAGAAATCAGTTTTTCTACCGTTTAAATAACTCATACATCCCACTCAAGGCAACTTTAAAAATTGTTAATAAAAGTGTGTTGTGTACAAGCAAAGCAAGGAGTCAGGGCTTCTTGGAAACAGAAAAGGGAAAAGATATTATGAAAATGAGAAGGATCTAATTCCCTGCACTCAGAAAACAATCAGCTGCAGGAGAGAACACAGGAGATGATAAATGGGCAGACTGTGGTCAGTACTAAAAGAAAACAGAAGGTTAACACAAATTAAGAAATAAAGGGAAACATTAGCCATTAATTGACAGTGTAGGTAAGAAGCAATAAGCATCACAATAGTGAAAATAAAGAGGAAACTTTAAGCAGAAGATAAAAGTACATGAATTAAGGTTTGGTTACTGTTTGGCTATCAAAGTCAAGGAAATGAATGAGTCAGTGATGTGTGTAAGTAGGGTTTCTGGGTCTATGAACTTATAAAAATAGTGATATTCTTAACATAAAAATAAGGAGAACAGATTTGGGGAGAAAAAATAAATTTGATTTTGAATATATGAAGCTTTAGTTAAAGAAGTAAAACTAGATGAAACTGCCAGTAGGCAGAAGAAAGTTAAGTTTGAAGTCTGGAAGTACATAGATTTAGGTGTCTTTGTTATCAGAGGCATTCTTGCCAAGTAGATTTTATAAAGAAGAGGACTGAGAATAAAGAAAATGTCTTTATTTTGGAATTACAAGAAGAAAATATAGACGAGGTGGCTGTTGAATTATTTAAAGCTTAGGATAATCCTCAAATATTGAGATTTCAATGCACTATATTTTCCTTTACCTAGACTTATGTTAAAAGTTTTTAACCATTGATTTGCCGTTCTTGACCCTACTGCTTTCATAAAATGGCCTTTTTATGCCCTTTTTTTCATTTCTTGCTTTTGTTAACATCTCTATCCCTGGTAGATGATTAAGTAAGTCTTGTGGCAATCATGTTTCCTTTCAGAAAAGTCACCTGCATGGTTTTAGGTACAGACTTTGACAAAACTTGTATTTTCCAAGCCTACCTCCTTGTCCTGCTTCCCTTTGTCCATGTATTTAATTGGATTAAATTGGGCAGACATGAGAAGCTAGATATCCTTCAGCTGATTCCCTTCCCCTCCTCTCCTGTCTCCTCTCTTCCCTTTCCCTCTCTCCTCCTCTCCTTTTTTATTCTCTTTTTCTTTTCCTTTGTTTTCTTCTCTTTTTTATTCCCAGGACTGGGGATTCAACTCAGAGCCTCCCATGTGCTAGGCAAGTGCTCTACCACTGATCTTAACTCCTGGAGCAAACTTCTTTTATTACCTTACTTAAATTTTCCACTTTGTTGGTAATTTAAAAGACAAACAAATATCTACTTCCCCAACGAAGTTTTCTCTACAGTTCTCTGAGATTACACTAACATTGGCACAGTAAACAGATTATATATTTTAACTGATAGTTTCACTTTATGAGGTTCTTTTAAAGATGTTGGTTATATGCCATCTGGTCCTTTATAAAACCTTAAAGGGATTTTAGATGAATTGCTATATCTTATTTTTTTTCAAATATTAAAATATTTGAAAGAACCTTAGATCAGGTAATTATTTTTTACCTGAAAGCTCCAAAGAGTCTCATTACAAACTCCTTCTCTCCTATTTAAAAGCTCTTGAGGCAGTAGTGTCATTCTACTTCTCAAATTGTTGCAAGTACATATGTTCCCATGGTTATTGTCTAGATTCCAAATGCAAACCTTTTTTTTCCAAATACAAACCATTACATACCTGATTAGAAAGAAGTACAAACTTTCCTTTTCATTAAGAGCCACCATCACTCCTACTTTATTAAAAAAAGGAATCTGATTTTTTTTTTTTTTTTTTTGGCAATACTGGGGATCAAATTCAGGACATTGAGCTTGCCAGGCAGGGACAACACCATTGAGCTACATCCCCGGCCCATTATTTAGGAGCACTAGGGGTCAAACCTAGGGCCTTGTACTTGTTAGTCAAGTGCTGTGCCACTCAGCCACTTCCCCAGCCCTAAAAAATCTGATAATTAGGGTTGAGGATGTAGCTGAGTGCTGCCTGCCCCAGCCTTGCAACCTCAAGGTCCTGAGTTTGATCCCCAGTACCAAAAAAAAAGATAATTTAAATATGTTATATTTAAAGCATTTTAAATCACTTTCAGAATTGCCATTGGGATGTTATGTCAAAAATTAAGAATAAGGCCGGGAATGGTGGTGCACACAGGTAATCCCAGCAATCTGGAGGCTGAGGCAGGAGGATCACCACAAGGTCAAGGCCAACCTAAGCAACATAGTACAAGGCCAGCTTGAACTACATAGTGAGATCCTGTCTCAAAAAAAGGAAATAAGATGAACTAATTAGATGTTTTCCATACCTCCTTCATTAACTCTGGAATCTGCCAAGAAATTAAAAATAATAATCAAGAAGGCAGTGAGAGTTTGGTATTTCTTTCAATTCATATTTTACTTGCTTTCCCTTGACTTTTAACTTCAACTTTTCTGATAGAGATCAGAAAGGGATAAGGAGAAATCGACAGTTTAAGGAACCATCAAGTGCTCTCAGGACAGGTGCAATGGCACATGCCTGTAATCCCAGCCATTCAGGTGGCTGAAGCAGAAAGATTGCAAGTTCAAGCCCAGCCTGGGCAGGGTGGCAAGACGCTGTCTCAAAATAAAAGTAAAAAGGACTGGGGATGTAGCTCAGTGGTAGGGTACTTGCCTAGCATGCACAAGCCCTGGATTCAATTCCAGTTACTGAGGGGAAAAAGAGTGCTCTCAGAACTTACATAAAATTTACCTAATTTTCTGTACCAAAAATTGTCTTCATAATAAATGCTTTAGGAGTTATACCTTATTTAATGTATTGTTTATCTTTACAGCAAGACAGACCGCCTTGCCAAAGGATCAGAATGTTACCAAAAGAGCCTTAGTTTGAATCCTTTCCTCTGGTCTCCCTTTGAATCATTATGTGAAATAGGTAGGTTTGGGGAGGTGTCGGAGAGGTTTCCCCATTTCCTTTTTTTTTTTTCTCTCCCCTGTTAATTTTTGGATACTTGTGTAAATTGCAATAAAAATATTTTTACAAAGCTAAAGGACTGTTGAAATGGAGAATAAGAAATAAATTAGAATCATATTAGTGAGGAGTAATGTCCTCTTCTAATACTCTACCCCAAAGATTAAATTTACTACTCTCTATTTAGCCAGTCTATCTTAAATATGTTGTGTTCTCTAGAATGAGTTATATTATGTGTATAATACTAGCCAAAATTGCTCTCTGGATAAGAAATTAATATATTCTCTAAATAAATCAATGAAGTACCTGGAGCAGAAACTTTTAGATGAGTAAGACCTAGACAATATTTAGAGAGAATGTCTCTATATGTTGTAGGATTTTAAAGCATGTGTCCATACACACAGAAGTAGTTCACTCTTTAGTGGGTTTCAGTTCTCCAACTTCAATGAGATCTAGTTGTTTTCTGCTTTGAAACAAACACTGAAATTTATGTTTCCCTGTAATTTATTATATTTAAAACTAGGGTCCTTGTAATTAAATTAACTTCCTAAATTTATATCTTTATCGTAAGAGGTTAAACTCCTATAATAAGTTAGTAGATGACTTGGGCATGTCCAAAAATAGATTAGCAAAACTGGACAGAATTTTAAAACTCAAATTAAGGCTTTATTTTTACTTATGCATAGTTTAAAAAAAAGAAAAAGATTATCCTTTAGGACGGTGGTGAACCTATAGCACACGTGCCACAGGAGGCACGCAAAGCCCTCTGTCGGTGTGTGAGTCAAGTCCCCCAGCAGGGTTGTTTTTCTAAACTAAAACCTCAGTATTCAGGTTTAGTTGCATTGTTGGCACTTTGCAGTGAATAAGAGGGTTTTGGGTTGCAGTTTGGGTACTCTTGTCTCTAAAAGGTTCACCATCACTGCCTTAGAATCAAATATACTTTTTTTTTGGTCTTCGCAGGTGAAAAGCCAGATCCTGACCAAACATTTAAATTAACATCTATACAGAACTTTAGCAACTGTCTGCCTAACTCTTGTACAACACTAGTATCTAATCATAGTTTATCTCATAGACAGCCTGAGACCGTTCTTACAGAAACACCCCAGGACACAATTGTAAGTGTATCTACTCTAATGTTCAAAATATTATGAAAACTAAAAAGAATGATTATGTAGTAATGTATCATGGCTAACATGGTAGAAATTTTCTCTTTCAGGAGTTAAACAGACTGAACTTAGAATCTTCCAATTCAAAATATTCCTTGAATACAGATTCCTCTTACATTGATTCAGCTGTAATTTCACCAGATACTGTCCCTCTTGGAACAGGAACTTCTATATTATCTAAACAGGTTCAAAATAAACCAAAAACTGGTCGAAGTTTATTAGGAGGACCAGCTGCCCTTAGCCCATTAACCCCAAGGTAAGCTATACAAAAGGTACTTTAATGTGTGTTACAATATTAAATGATCTTCTAATGATGTATATGATTAGTAATACAAATTAATATGAACAGCCAGTTTTGTTAAATCACTGGAAACAGAGGCATTCTGATTTAGAAAATGAAGTAAAGTAAAAGTACATGTGATAAAAATTTAATACTAAATAGAGAAATTTTTAAAACTCTTAAATATACCTCATTTAACTACTATATGCATTAAAAGATAGTACAGTCTTTATGGCTGCACATCAGCAGATACCAGTGAAACCCTGGAAATGTTGATAAGCTATTTAATCATTGCAACATTATTGTTAAAGTACGTTTCTCTAGAACATGGAAGAAGCATTGGCACCTATCAGTGTGAAGTTAGCAGAGATATAGATGTCTGTGCGTATGTGTAAGATGCTATCCCAGAGGATACATAAAAAGTTATGTGCTACGGGCTGGGGATTTAGCTCAGTGGTTCCACTGCCTGCCTCCCAAGCGCAAGGTCCAGAGTTCAATCCCCGGTAACAACAACAACAACAAAAAAGTTATGTGCTAGAACACATTGTGTGAATGGAACCTTGGGGCCAAGGAACTACCAGAATAGCATACCCATGAGATTTCAGTATCATTAAAGTATCATTAATAGCATACTCATGAGATTTCAGTATCATTGGATGATTATGTTGATAATTATTAGATAATTATTCAGTGATCTTCAGGGACATTGTTTCCATAATTGTGTCTAAGTTCCACAGAGTCCAAGAATTTGAAGTCATTTGATCACTTGGATCTTAGCTTTTAAAAAGCCACTGTTCTTTACTTCTAACAAATCTGACATCTGTAGTTCTTGCTCCATTTAGTTCCTTGTTTCTTTATTTTTATTTTTAAATTTTAATTATGGAGGGTGGAGTCGTCTACAGTCAGAGTTTATTTTTAATCTGCCCCCCAGGTCCTCACTGCCCCCAGACTGATTTGCCATTCTCTTCCTTTTAGACCTTCTAATTTAAGTATACTGCTGCTTTATATATGCCTTGATGACTTTTTGACACCTTGATTTCAACCTCTTCTCAGTTTTGGGATTTTGCCATTAGAAACCCCAAGTCCTGGAGATGGATCCTATTTACAAAACTACACTAATACACCTTCTGTAATTGACGTGCCATCTACCGGAGCCCCTACCAAAAAGGTATTTTTCATGTGAAATGCAGTTTTGGTATTGATTTGCAAAACGTTTAAAATTCCAATTTGTAAAGCTAATTAAATAATATCTGTCATAGTTTTTACTAGTTCCTACAACTGTGCATAGGTTTTGTTTCTAGTACTAGGAATTGAACCCAGGGAATGCTGATCTATACTGTACAGTATCCTTTCTCCTTTTTTTGTAAATTTTGAGAAAGAATCTCATTTTGTTTTCCATGCTGGACTCAAAGTTGTGGTCCTCCTGCCTCAACCTGCCAAGTAGCTGGGTTGCAAGTATGTACTACTATGCCTGTCTCTGTATTTGGTTTTATTATGGGTTGTTTTGTTCAGTATCATGGATCAAAGCTAGAGCTTAGTGCATAATGTTAGGCAAGCACTGTACCACTGAGCTACAGCTCCTAACCCTTGTTTTCTTAATAGCACTGAGAACATGAAAAGAATTTGCCCAGGTAAGGCAGATGTTTCTTAGGGTTTTTTAAATTTAATTTTTAAAAAAATTTGGGGGGTGCTTTTGGAGACAAGGTCTCATTATGTAGTCTAGGCTGGCCTTGAACTCACTATGTAGCCCAGGCTGGCCTCAAACTCATGGTGATCGTCCTGCCTCAGCCTCCAAGCTGGGATTATAGATGTGTGCCACCATACCCAGTATTTCTTGGGTTTTTGTAATTCTTTTTGTTTTTTGAGATAGGGTCTCAATGTGTAGCTCAGTTTGACCTTGAACTTGATGCTCAAGATCCTGTTGCCTCCCAAGTTCTGAGATTAGAGGCATGTGCCACCATGCCTGACCCCAGATATTCCTAATAATAAGATTTTCTGGCTGGATCCTCATAGATAGGCAGTAAAAGTGAAAATATTTTATAGTGTCCTTATTAATGGGGCAATAGATTTCTTGAGGCTCTTTTAATAAATTTTTATATATATAGATATATGGCAATCCATTATTTGTGGTACTGGGTATCATCTGTGACAGTTAAATTATGTGTTTAAAATGTATATTGCCGGGGATTTAGCTCAGTGGTTCCGCTGCCTGCCTCGAAACTGAAAGGACCCAAGTTGAATCCTCAGTACCAAAAAAAAAAAAGTATATTGCCATGCTTAATGTTTAAGAAATGGAAACTCTATCTGGATGTAGTGGTGCACCCCTGTAAACCCATCACTTGGGAATCTGATGCAGGATTCAAGGTCATCTTGGTCTGTCTACATAGTGAGTTCATGGCCAGCATAGATTATAGAATGAGACCCTCTTTCCAAAGAAAACAAAAAGAAAAAAAATGGAAACTAAATAAGTCATACTAATACATAAGTAACAGATGTTGGCCTTTTACTAGCCTAGAAATATACTTCTATTTAGTCTTTTACCCCTGAATATCCTTATTCTGCAAAAATTCCAATCTAGAATCGCTTCTTAGTAAGCAGTAATGGGAACTCCAAGAGTAGTAAAAAGGAACTGAAAAATAAATTAAGAATTGTTTTAAACCTGATTGTTTTAAAAGTTTAGAGCTAAGTGAGCTATGATGGTGCACACCTGTAATCCCAGCACTCAGGAGGCTGAGGCAGGAGGATCACTTCGAATTTGAGGCTAGCCTGAACTATGTAATATGTAGCAAGAGATCCTGTCTCAAAAAAAAGTTGGGCATGGTAGTGCATGCCTGTAATCCTAGCACTTGGAAGCCTAAGGCAAAAGGATTGCCACAAATTCAAGGCCAACCTGAGCCACATAGTGAGTTCAAGACCAGCCTGAGCCAAAAAATGAGACCCTATCTCAAAAACTAATAAATACATGTAGTGAAGTATCTCCTGTTATAATGTTAGAGGAGTGAGCTATAATTGGGGGAGTTCGTTTATTTCTATTATGAAGTAGAATGGTAGCATTCTAGGTGAAGTAGGCCAAATCCAAAAGAGCTATAGCAACCCAAAAATAAAAGATGTAGTGTCCAAATAACGAAAGCCACCTACAAACTCATCATCTGGCTCTGTTCTCTTCTTACCATATCATAAAACAGTTGCAGAAAAGTTACGTATGTAAGTACATGCAGTATTACCTAAAAGTATCAGGCCAAGTAATGAATATAGTACATAGGTGGGGTTTTTTGGGGGGGGGGGTTGGTACTGGGGATTTAACTCAGGACTTTGAGTTTGCGAGGCAGGCATGGTGCCACTGAACTAAATCCCCAGCCCTCATAGTTCTTTGATAAATAAGAATTAACTTTGTCCCTTGAGTGATTATATAGGTCCCAATTTGGGAAGCAGGAGAAAAGATTATATAGTTTTATTTTGAAATAGTAGTAGATGAGACTGAAGTATTCAGTGGATAGTCAGTCATAGGTCAAAGAATATATATCTGATGGTAGATATAATAAATGTCCCAGCATTCATTATGGGAGAGTCATAGTAAATGTCTCTCTTGGAGAGAAAGTAGCTAAGGAACACAAGAGTACACCTAATTTTATTTTTTAATTTATTTTATTTTTTTATATTTTTGGTACTGGGGATTGAACTCAGTAACTTGCACTTGCAAGGTAGCCATGGTTCCACTGAGCTAAATGCCTGGCCCCAGAGTATACCTAATTTTAAAAAGTAGAAGGAAAAGCCAATAAATGAAATGGGAGGATAATCATGCTAGTGTACTATTTTGTAAGTTACATAAAGTTTCAAAAAGAGGATAACAATTGATATTGAATACAGGAAAGACTAAGACCTTTATATCTAGTGGAAAAGTGATTATTAGCAAATATTTATAATAACACAATTTGAGAATTATATTACAGCATATCAAGATAACTTTAAATTTTAAAGAAAATTATCTAGCAGTTAAAAAACTGTTAATATTGGGCTGAGAATTTAGCTTGGTGGTTCCACTGCCTGCCTTGCAAGCACAAAGTCCTGAGTTGGATCCCTGGTACCAAAAACAAAAAAACCCTTAATATCATAGATCAAAAAATGAGTAAGTATTTAAAACTAAGTAGTGAAAATAAATAAAAATAATAAATTGGAGAACACAAAAGAAACAAGCTTTTTTTTCCCCCCAAGAGAACAGAAACCAGTTAATGAAAGATTGAAAACCTAAAGAAGAAATGATAACTGTAAAGAGCAATATCCTGGGCCGTGGATTTAGCTCAGTAGTTTTGTCGCCTGCTGCACAAGCACAAGTAACCGAGTTCAATCCCCGGTACAAAAAAAAAAAGAGCAATATCCTTAGAATTTGGAAAGTAGGGCCAGGGATTTAGCTCAATGGCACCGCTCCTGCCTCTTAAGCACAAGATCCTGAGTTCTATCCCTAGTGCTGCGGGGAGGAGGGGGGAGTTGGAAAGTAATCAGATGATTCTTTTTTTTTTTTAAATCTAGTCCTCTTCTGTAGAACTGTTAAGTGCCAAAGGAGTGTAAAATCTTGCTGTCTTGTTTTTTAGGTATAGAAAGTTAAATTACAAATCTTATTATATACTGAAAACATGTACTAATAAAAATTTTAAAGAATAAATAAACTATAAATCATGAGAATAGTATCTTGCTTAAAAATTTTTAGGGCCAGGGATTTAGCTCAGTGGTGCCACCCCCTGCCTTGCAAGAGCAAGGTCCCGAGTTTGATCCCTGGTACAAAAAAAATTTTTTTTCAGCACTTAGCACCAAATAGAAAAGGTATGTAATAAATGGAGATGATCACAGTGAGAAAAAGGAATAGCTTCTGAAATTTTGAGCCTTTTCTTTCAAACTAGAGTGAATAATGAAAGGTTAATAGAGAAGTAAAAATGCTGGTTAAAGTGTGGAAGTTGATGATCATATTAATATAACAGCAGTGACAGAAATAAGGTTATTAATAGTTTGTGTTTTAAAATAAGTTTATCTTATGAACTCTTTCATGGGAAAATGGATCATAATGTCTTTTATCATTTACAGTGCAATCTGTAATCACAAACCTTAAACTTTTTGTTTTACAGTCTGTTGCCAGAATCGGCCAAACTGGAACAAAGTCTGTCTTCTCACAAAGTGGAAATAGTCGGGAGGTTACTCCAATTCTTGTTGCACAAACACAAAGTTCTGGTCCACAAACAAGGTATTTATCATGGTGTTATCAGTTGGTATTGTTCATCCTTTCTTGCTGTAAAATTTGATTCTTATTTCTTCAGTTTAAGCAAATATTAACTCACAAAAATACGTAAAATTTGTAAGTTACTGAAAAAACTAGTGGAATTTTTAGTGGTCTTATATTGTTCTCTTTTTTTGGTACTGGGATCGAACTCTGAACCTTGAGCTTGCGAGGCAGGCGCCGGCACCACTGAGCTAAATTCCCAGCCCTTTAGTTGTCTTATAATGTAAATAAGACAATAGTCACAATAGCCTTTTAATTTACTTTAATTGCCTCATGGGTTTGTTTAAAATAGTCATTCTAAACACTCTTTTAAAATAATTTTCTTGGCTGAATATGATGACGTATGCCTTTAACCCTAGCACTCAGGAGGCTAAGGCAGGAAGATCTCCCAAGTGTTCAAGGCCAGGGCCGGGAGATTTAGCTCAGTGGTTCCGCCTCCTGCCTCACTATCAAGATCCCGAGGTACTGAAAAAAAAAAAAAAAAAAAGTTCAAGGCCACCCTGGACTACATAGCAAGACCCTATCTCAAAATAAATCAAAAATAACAACAACAACAATAATAATTTTCTTCTCATGACTTTCTCTGCAGATCAGATACATAGGTTTAATTCATCCCTCCCCCCAGCATGCAGTTCAATACATAGATCATAAGACTAACTTTCAAATCTTCAAATACAGAAATCTTAAAACAGTCTTAAATGATGAAAGCATAAATGTGCACATACTCTTACTATCTAAAAGGCCTCAGTGTTCATAATATAAGGGTGGAGTCTAATCTTGAGTGCCAATAGTGTCTGCCTGAGGTTATTATGACAAGTAATTTGTAGCCTCCTACAGAGCAATATTATATAGGCTGAGTATATGCTAATTCTAGAGAATATATAACTGAACAGCTATACTGACGTATTATAATAAGTATCACCTATTAATAATTTTCTATTGTTTGTATTGTTGATACCATTATCTGCCAACTTGCCTGGATTCATTTTCTTTCTTTTATTTTTTTTTTCTGGTACCAGGGATTAAACTCAGGTCCTTGTGCTTACCAGGAAGGCATGGCACCACTGAGCTACATCCCTGGGCCTCGTTTTCTAAAGCTGCCATTATACGGGTTGAGCATCCCTAATACAAACATTTGAACCACCCTGAAATCTGAAACTTTTTTTTTTCTTTGCTGTACTGGAAAATGAACCTAGGACTTTATGCATGCTGCGCAAGTGCTCTTCCACTGGCACCGCCACCCCTTTTTATTTTATTTTGAGACAGAATATCTTAAATTGCTGAGGCTGGCCTCAAATTTGTGATCCTTCTGCCCCATTCTCTTGAGTAGCTGGAAATACAGACATGGGCTACTATGCTAATGTGAGATCTGAAAGTTTTTAAATGCCAATATAACACTCAGTGTCAGGTTTTGGAAGTTTAGGTTTCCGATTTTTGAATTAGGAATAATAGTGAACCATAAAGTCTGTTATACAAATATTACAAAATCCAAATATCTGAAATCTCTGACTTCTGGTCCTAAGCCTTTTTGGATAAAGTGTAGTCAACTTGTATAAAGAAGTGGGTAGCTTAAAACAACAGAATTTATTTTATTTTTTTCTCATTTTTCTTTGCTTTTTTCTTTTCCCCTACACGTCCTTTTGCAGCTGTCTCTCACAATTTTAAAGCCCATAAATTTGAAATCAAGGTGTTGGCAGGGCCAGTCTTCCTCCAAAGCTTTTAGGGGATTATCCTTCCATGCCATTTCCAGCTTCTTTTTTGTTGTTGTTTTGTACCAGGAATCGAACTCGGGTCCTTGCATCCTTGCACTTACCGGGCAGGTGGTGGAACCACTGAGCTAAATCCCGGCCCACCATTTCCAGCTTCTGATAACCAGGCCTTGTTGGCTTGTGACAGAATAATTCAGCATCTACTTCTATCTTCACACGGCTATCTTTCCTGTGTGTCTTATCTAGATTTTTGTTTGTTTGTTTATTATGTTTTTTGTTTTTGAGACTGGGTCTCACTATGTAATTCAGGCTAGCCTTGAACTCACTAGATAGCTCAGGCAGGCCTCTAATTCATGGTGAGATCTGAGATCCTCCTGCCTTAGTGCTGGGTCAAACTTGTGATCCTCCTGCCATAGCCTCCCAGAGTACTGGGATTACAGATGTACATCACAGTGCACAGCCATATTGTTTCTTCAGATACTTTTAATATTCATGTTCCTTTTTCTTTCTGGAACTCCAAGCACATGTATATTAGATTGCTTGAAGTTGTCCACACTTCACCAGTACATACTATGTTCATTTTTGTTTCTAGTCTTTTTCCTCTGTGTGTTTTATTTTTGACAATATTTATTTATTGCCATGAGTTCAAATTAATCTCTCGTCTATAGTGTCAGATATATTGCTGTTTTGGCTTTTCATCACTGTGACCAAACACCCAAGAAAAAGGAGGAAAGATTTATTTTGGCTCATTGTTTCAGTCCATAGTCAGTTGGCTCCATTGGTTTTAGGCCTATGGAAGGCAGAAACATCATGGCAGAAGGGCCAGGCAGAAGAAAGCTGCTTCACGGCAGCCAGGAACCAGACAAAGTACTTTATAAAAGAATCAGAAGAGGCTGTTCACCAGATATAGTCCCTGAGGTCACACCCCCGTGATCCACTCCCTTTGACTAGGCCCCACTTCCTGTTTCCATCATATCCTAATACCATCAAATTACATCTCATCAGTGGATTAATCCACAGATAAAACTAGAGCCTTCATGATTGAATCATTTCCCAAAAAGCCCATCAGGTGGTAACCAAGCCTTCAACATACTGCGCATTTGGGGGAACATAGAACCATAACATCTGTTACTCTTACCTATTGTTTTTCTTGTATTGTTTTGCTTTTTTGAATCTCAAGGCATTCTTTTTTCATCTCTAGAAGGTTAATTTGGTTGTCTCCTCGTGCATGCTTTCTTCTACTTTTTTTAAACATATATAATATGTTGTTAGTTCTTTTAATGTTCTTGCCTACCAAGTCTGTTCCTGTTTTTTTTTTCTAGTTCTGTTTCTTATTGATTGGTTTTTCTCTTCATTATAGATTGTATATTCCCGCTTGTTTATATGCTTAATATGTGTAGATTGGATGCAAGTTATGATAAACTTTGAATGCTGGATTTTTGTGGGGTCCCGCCTCCTCTTTTAGGTATTTTTGTTTTGTTTTGGGATGCAGTTATTGGAAACAGCTTGATCCTTTCAAGTCTTGCTTTTTAAATTTTTTTAGGTAGGACAAAGCAGCCATTGCTATAGAATAAGTTTTCCCAACTATTGAGACAGTCAGTACCTATTGAGTACTCTTGAAAATGGTCTGTTGAGTCATGAGTTTTCTTTCCTCTGCCTATTGATCATATTCCTAGCCAGGGGTGAGCTCCAAGAATTGATCTGCCTGTTCCTTTCAGTAGTTCTTTCTCTAGATTTGTATGGATTCTTTACTGTAATATCATTCTGAAGCTAATCACTTGGTCTTAGCACAGGTTAAGGTCACAGTCCCCAATAAGAACTGTTTGAACTGAGGATAGGCACATAGTTCCCTGGGCCATCCCCCGTTTCTGGCCAACTAAATACATATTTGATTATTCCCACTAGCCTCTCATATTTAGTAATTTGCTAGAAAAATTCACAGAACCCAGGAAGGTGCTATTCTTAACATTACAATTTTGTTATAAAGCATACAAATTAGGACCAGATAAATTAAGAGACCTGTAGAATAAGGTCTCTGGAGGATACCAAACACAAATCTTTTGCATCTCTCACGTGGAATCAGAACACAAGGACACATCATCCTCCAAGTACATCAGTATACAGACCAGGAATTTCAACTAAGCTGTGATGTTTAGAGATTTTATGGGGGTTTAATGATTTAGGCCTGATTGATGTAATCATTACTGGGAATATAACTGAACTCAGTTACCAGCCATCCTGCCCTTCCTGGAAGAGGTCAGGCTGAGGTCACCTGTCTTAAAGTCCTCACTCTAATCACATGGGAGATCTTCCCAGCATGACTAGCCTCAACATTTTCTGCACATAAATTATCACCTAAAACTCATTTCTATAAACTTTCCAAGGTATTTTTTGCTAATTATCAGAACACATTTAAAAACCATGAAACAGAGCCGGGGATTTAGCTCAGTGGTTCTGCCGCCTGCCTCGAAAGTGCAAGGACCTGAGTTCGATCCCCACTACCAAAAAAACCCCATGAAACAATGATTCAATTTACATGAACTTTTTTTAAGGTGTTACTATAATAGCACATAATCACATATTATGATGCTGATGGTAGAGCCTGATTTAAACCTTGGCAGTCTGACTCTAGAACATATTCCTTTCATTGTCCAAGGATTCATTGGTCATATCATATGAAATCATACATAATGCATACATAAACATACATGTCTTTTCTTAAATTCAGTTATTGTGCTTCAGTTTTCTGGTGCCTCAGACCTTGAGCATTCTTGTTTTCTTTTTTCAGATGGAACTGTGCAGCTAACACAACTCTAAGAAAAATTTTAAGAAGAGTTTGTCTTCTCTAACCTCCCCCCCAGAACACTTAATGTTTTTACTTTTATATACTATCACAAGATTGTGTTACCCTCATGCAGTCTTCCTATAAATTGCCCCATGCTATGAAATTCTTTCCACATCTTAGCAAAACTTTTTTTCTGTAATTAGGTAATCATATTGACAAAATATAACTCACTTTAAAAGCATATATGCTAAAATAGTTGTTCCTACCAAATACAGATTATTGTACTTTTAAAAATGAATTTGTCGGGCCGGGGATTTAGCTCAGTGATTCCACCACCTGCCTCACAGGCTCAAGGTCCCGAGTTCGATCCCCAGTACCAAAAAAATAAAAATTAAAAAAATAATAATAATTTGTCTGGGCCAGGCGTGGTGGCACACACCTATAATCCCAGCACTCAGGAGGCTGAGGCAGGAGAATCTCCATGAGTTCGAGGCCAGGCTGGGCTACATAGTGAGTTCAGGGCCAACCTGGACTACAAAGGGAGACCCTGTCTCAAAAAAACCAATACAGAGCTGGGGATTTAGCTCAGTGGTGCACTGCCTCACAAGTGTAAGGTCTTGGATTTGATCCCTGGTACCAGGGAAAAAAAGAAAAAGAATTGCGCAGTCAGCTGTGGTGGCACATGCCTGTAATTCCAGCATGTGGAAAGCGGATTACACATAGTGGGGCCCTGTTTCAAAAAAAAAAAAAGTTTGGTCAACTCAATATCTTTTGAAAGGATTAAGAATACTGTTGGATGTGCTTTATTGACTGGTCAGCATGTCTTATTTTTAGAAACTTCTTTATCCCTGACAGGTAACTAGTAGATTCCCCATAAATTTATTTTATTTTATTTTATTTTATTTATTTATTTTTTTGGTACTGGGGATTGAACTTGGGACCTTGCACTTGCAAGACAGGGGGTGGAGCCACTGAGCTAAATCCCTGGCCCCCCTATTAATTATTAAGAGTTTAGTTTTAACTCTCAATTAAATCATTTCAGGTTTGAAGTTTGCCTGCTTTCTAAGATTGGAATTCTTATATCTTAGGGTTTACCTTTTAAAGTAAAAATGTATCCAAGTGCCATTAGAGTCCTTTGATTCTAAGTAGAATAATCCTTTGATATAGCTATTTGAATTTACAGGGAAATGATTTCTCCTGTTGGTCTAGTGGTATTTATTTGTTGATAGATACCTCAATTTGTATAATCCGTGCCCAACTATCTTTTCTTCATTTTCTCTAACTTTGTGTAATTACAAATGTGATGATTGATTTATAAGTGTGTTGTGTATTGATCCAGAATATTTTTATGGATTGAGTTCAAATGACTAGTTTCATTTAGTGTGAAGATCTATGCTATGCTATATCATTTATGCTGTTTATACTAATAGTTTTTAAATGCTGAGTTTTCATGGAGAAACAAGAAAGGAACTAACAAACTCATCAATTTTAAAGTCCCTACATGCTGAATGCTTTTTTTTTTCCAGTATGAGGGATAGAACCCAAGGAAATTTTACCTCTGAGCTATATCCCCAGCCCCTTTTATTTTTATTTTGAGACAGTCTTCCTAAGTTGCCCAGATTGGCTTTGAACTTATGACTCTCTACCTCAGCCTCCTGAGTAGTTGGGATTATAGATGTACACCACAGTACCCAGCTGTGTATGTATATTTTTTCATATAGTTGAGCTGAGAAAATGGCCATAAACTGAGTAAAAAAATAAATGTATTCTTTTGTAATTTCTCTTAGTACAACACCTCAGGTATTGAGTCCTACAATTACATCGCCCCCAAATGCACTGCCACGAAGAAGTTCACGACTTTTTACCAGTGACAGCTCTACAACTAAGGTAACTGAAAAATTTCTGAATGTCACACTTATTTAATGTTACCTCTGCTAAATTGCCTGTTCATTGAGTATTTCACCTCTAATAACTATATACAGAGATTATTTAGAATTTTTAAAAGAAGGCTGTATAATTTTTGTGTGTTTTCTTAGTTCTTTGGTAAATATTATATAACATTTTTTAAATGACAAAACTACAGTAAAGCACATGCTTGGTTATTTAGAGAGAAGGTGGGAGAGGATGTGGCTATTAAAACATATCACAAAGGATTTCTTTGGAGTAGCTGAATAGTCCAAAGGGTGAGTGTGATGGTTAGTCGCACAGATATGTTCATGTGATAAGATTACACAGAACTGTATACACATATGCAAAAGAGTTCATATAAAAACAGAAATCTAAAGGGCCAGGGATTTAGGTCAGTGGCACCACACCGGTCTCAGTAGTGCAAGGTCCTGTGTTCAGTCCCTGGTACCACAAAAAATAAAACATTTTTTTAAAAAATCTAAATGAGGTCTGGAGTTCAGTTCATAGTTTTACATTCCAGTTTTCCGGATATGGTGCATGCTATATTATGGTTGTTTCACATGCTATTGATGTGGAAAGAGTAAATGGAAATTCTGTGTTTTCTTTCTATCTTTTGAATTATTTCATAAGTTAAAATAGAGGGCCTCATTATGCCTATATTAAATTTTCTTGGTCCATTCACAAATATGATGGGTGATTATTCTGACATCCAGATTATCAATATCATAATTTACCGTTTTGGATGCTCTGATAAAATAATAAGTGTAAAGAGCAATACTTAATGCACACTCACCTTAACCACTATTGGTTAATGCATTTTCTGTTCAGAATTGTTGCATTTAAAATTAAATGAGGGGAGGGCAGTGAAGCTCAGCCGCTCCCAGCACCTGGAAGGAAGCTCCCCGCCTCCATCCCAGGCTCCTAGGGCAGAGAAGGTGAGCCATGTGGGTGCCAGAAGCACCCCTCCCCCCGTGGAAATGAGAAGACACATAAACAAGCCTCAAAAACAGACTTCTGGATCACCTACAGCAACCCCAAAGG